CTCTTAATGAATAGAATGATTTTTTCTAATGGTGTTTGTAAGTAGGATCACAAGTCTGCATCTTGTACAGCAATTAACCACTAAGAAGAATATATGTAGTGTATTATTTGTTGAAACTGTACTCTCGATTTGATTTGAAACTGTCTCATTGCTATATGTTTATCAATAAAACTTTGAAAAAAAAAAAAAGAGCATGAAAGGAGAAAAGGTCCAAGGCTCTTTTAATTTGTTGCTCAAATTCTAATTTTACAAATTCTTTATCAAAGTGATGAGAGAAGATATAGAAATAAAAATTCACTGCAGCTTGCTGGATCATCTGTACGTGCCCTTGCCCATAATGTAGTTAATGCCTGTGGCCTCTTGCCCTGAGTCCTGGGCTGTATTGGGAATAGTGAAAGCGATCTGGCTTCTTCCACTGCCACAAAACAAGTTTGAAAAACAAGAACATGCCAGAAGCTCTGGAAAGAGATTCCCAAACCAAAATCCTTTCCTCCTCACTCTGTGGTAGCAATTCACACCCACGGCCTACAGTTCAGCTCTCTCAGTGCAGTGGGCTATGCTCCTTACTGAAATCTGCTTTTCATTTTGTGCATTTAGATCCAGAAACATGCTATGTGCTCCCATGGGCTAGGAACTAGCACTTGTTTCTATTCTTAGCACCTAGTTCAATAAATGCAGACTGAATAAAGGAATAATGAATGAAAAAAGGAAAAAGTCAACAAAAAGAAGAACAAGAGAATGACATGAAGCTAAGGTATCAATTGCAGCAAGCCTTCAAACACCCAGATACAAAGTAGGACGGCATGTACTGATGGTTTGTTACTAGCTTCTCATGCAAATCCTGTTCCTTTTTTCTGCAAAAGTTATCAGCCCTTCAGGTGTCAATCAGATGAAACACATTACATAGACTCCCAGTGCAAACTAAATATGAGATGAAGTGGGCAGCCAGAAGTGGAGTTCAGGACTCTGACATCAGATCTGTATTTTGGCTTGGATAGTGCTGCTCAGAGCTAATAATTCGGCCTTAGCCAAATTATTTAGTTACTCTGAGCCTTGGTTTTCTCATTTATAAAAGGGGGTATAAACAATATATGCATCAGAGGCTGGCTATGAGGATTAAATGAGATAAGGTGGTTATGTAAATACAAAGTCTTTGCTATGGAAAAGGTCAGTAAATGTTGGCTATTGTCTTTGAGTCAGAGAACTATCAGCAGAAAATTCTATAGATCTCATGCTATTAGCTTCTGATCACATGAGAGATTGAGTAAAGCAGTCCTACTACATAGGTAGAGAAATTTATACCCAACCTTAGAAAGCCTCTCTTACCTGAAAGAACCACTTAACAAAGATAATGACTTCAAGACACACTAATCCCCTGGGACTCCTAAATGGCTTAAAAGTATTATTTGTGTGCCTCATGTGAAACTGGCAATCTTCATCAACTTCTCTTCTAAAAGATAGCAATGTCTGCTTTACAAAAATTTGTAATGGAAAAAGCAAACATGATGTCCCTAGACAATATGGCTGTCAGAGTTCAAGTCACTGCAACTCCATGCTGAATACAGTATTCATTTTCTCTGGAAACCCTAACTGACAGGCTAACAGTGTGCTGATGAGTGATGAGAATTGCTGTCCAGAGGTAGGATCATTCCCTTCCCTGGTGTACTTTTTGTAGACAGTGAAACAGGTTGCCTTCTTTTTCCATAGGGCAGCTGGTCTGCCGGGGAGGGACACAGAGGCCTTGTTATAAAGTCATTTACTCCCATGATGCTTCTCGAAGACTTGACTTTGAGGAAGCCAAAGAAACCTGCATGAGGGATGGGGGCCAACTACTCAGCATCGAGTCTGAAGATGAGCAGAGACTGATAAAAATGTTCATTGAAAACCTCTCGGCATCAGATGGTGATTTCTGGATTGGGCTCAGAAGGCATGAAGAGAAACAAAGCAACAGTACCAGTTGCCAGGACCTTTATACTTGGACTGATGGCAGCACATCAAAATTTAGGTAAGTGTGTAGAATCCACAGCAGCTGATTCTCATAATATAACTTAGAAGAGACAGCAAGATCCATGGTGCCAGATCCATGGGAGATGAGGCAGAAACCAGGATAGTAATAGCCACTGACCAGAGCAGTGTGGTGAAGGTAGTGAGCTCAGCTTGACTTGGTCCACACTGATGACCAGAGTTCTGGTCAAGCGGGTAAGCCTAGCAGTATTTGTTCAACAGCACATGATGCTTGAAGTCAGTGATCTGGTATCTGGTGGCTTGGACTACAACCTACTAAGAGACTGAAGGTCCACAGAGCTGGAGTCAGGATAGGACTCCAGGCCATTGGGAAATGTGGCAATGGGCAAGGAAAGCCGAGCCCAAGATCTAGCTACATGGAATGGTGAAGAATGGGGATTTTAGGAAAGCCACAGTTTATAGGAACACCCAAAACCCACAGCACCAAGACACTACTCATTCACATCCTACCCTGGCACCATGACATTGCCATCATCCCTCACTAAAAAATGCAGTCATGTGAACAAATATTAAAAATGTATCAAAATTAGGAGATGGACACAGGACTGGGAAATGCCTGTAAATAACAAAGAATTAATGTCTTTTTAATGATAGTTTATATAAAGCACTAATACTCAAAAGATAAAGCAGGAAAAGACCTAAGCAGAGAATAAATAGAAAATCATATTATAAAAACATCTACAGTCATTATCACTCAGAAGAATGAAGAATGTTACATTTCAGACAGAATGTCAGCATCCATTATTTTCTACCCACTCTGTCAGTCGGATCCTTATCCAGTACTCTCATGGGCTTCCTTTCCTGAGAGGATCATTTAAAAAATGAATATTAATAGGTTAAACTATATTTCCTATCACTGCAGCTGGACTCAGGGCCATAATTGATACTGCTCATCTCTTTCCTCTACTGTCCAGTCCAGATTCCCCACCTCCCTCTGGTCTCAGTGGCTGACTTTGTCTCATGACCCAAATGCTCATCTATGGCCCTAGTCACCTTGTTCTTCTCAGGCTGCACTTAATGTATTATTCCTCTTCCTCCTCTTCCTCCTCCTCTTCCTCTTCCTCTTCCTCTTCTTTTTTTGTCTTAGACCAGTCTTTTTTAAAATTTTTTAAATAATTTTATTGAGAAACAAATAGCAATGAGACAGTTCAAAACTGATTAGTAGGACAGTTTCAATAATTAATACATGGCATATTGTCGTCTTAGTGGTTGTTCATTGTACAAGATGCAGATATGACATCCTGTCCACAAACACTATTAGAACAAATCTTCTTATTCATTGAATTAATAGAATGTAGCTGTATATCTATCCTATTTTGAATATACAGATACAAAATGGTCATTCATTTTTTTTTTTTTTTTTTTTTTTGGAGGCTCGAAATGCCTTTAGGGCATTTCTGGTTTGCAGTGACTATCTGGGTTGGAACCCCAGAAGCTTGAGCTTGAGGGTTTTGTTTAAGCAGGCACTTAAACAACTGAGCTACTGGGCAGGTCCCCGGTCATTCATTTCTATCCTCTTTTTTTGTTTAATTTTGTCAGAGAAGGGTATTCCATTGTCACTTAAATATTGTAGGTGTGTGAATTCAGCAAAATATTCCAATATAGTCCAGTAGTCCATAATAGTAGTGGGTCATCCGCTCTTCTTTTTTAATGTATTTGGTACAGGGTCTCACTGCACAGCTTAGACTCCTAGTGATCCTCCTGTTTTCAGCCTCCCCATGACTGGGATTACAGGCATGCACCACCAGGCCCGACTCAGTAGCCAGGGCTGGGGAGATAGCTCAGTAGTCTAAGACTTGCCTGGCAAGCGCAAGGTCCTGAGTTCAATCCCTGGTATTATAAAAAAAAAAAAAAAAAATCTCCTCTTGGTGGCACAGGTCCCCCTCTATGGGCACACACAGACTCAGTAGCCAGCTCAGAGTGCCTGGAGGCAGGGTTGGCACAGCATGTGGTGCTGGGAATCAAACCCTAGTCCCTGCACTTGCCTAAGTAGGCACTTAGTCCACTGCTGGCCCTAATGCACTTTTTCATTAACTGTAAATGAGTACCAAGGGATATCCCAGGAGATATCCTTCTCCCTGCCCATACTGTATGGCAGCAAACTTACCTCCTCATGATGATTTGAGTCAATTACCATCTGCAAATATAATCACATCTTCTTTGCCTGTTAGTCCTTGAAAAGAAGGATCTCATCTGTCTTAAGAGACAGCCATGGCTCATAGCTCAAGACTCTTGTCTCTTCTAGCAGAAGTATTCCCCTCTGAAAACTAAGAACTCCCAAAGTCCAGCACCGCAGAGACAAGTACAAATTCCCCAAGTGCATTCCTACCAGTGATGGTACTCCTGCTCTTCATCCCTTTGCTCCCAACCTGTGTATTCTACTCTTGGAGATACAGGACTATGCAAATCATTGATTGGTTAATGATGTCCTGTCCCAAAGTGTTGCCACTAAGTTGATGGTTCAGCTGAGTTTTCAATAGACAATTCCATCATTCTTTCAAGCAGTGAGCTTTGGGGCAGTACAGTGTGTGATCTGACTGGTAAAGCACATGGCCAGGCACCTACTCCAACACCTTCTTCAGTGTAAAGTAGGTCTTTTTGTCTGAGGAGATGTTACTCATTGACGGGTTAAATACCATGTATTTGGGTAGCAGTGCTGACTAAGGCCCAGTGGCAGGAAAGGCACACCCATGCCCAGACTGTGTACCTGCTCTTATCAAAATGACTATTGTCTCTTTCAGGGTTCCAATGTAAGTAACTTGCCACGTTGGTCTCCTCAAGTGATTGTGAGCTGTCAGAGACATAGCACTGGTTCTCTGCTTCTGAAAGGCTGGACATTTGGCAGTAGTAGTATCCAGATCAGTCTTGGTGATCAGGAGCCAATTTGTTACACCTATGCACATGCCCATCCTTCTCCTACGGTGGCTACTCCACTTCTATATCTATTGAACTAATATTAATGTAGCTGGGGTGGCTGCTAACAGAATGGCTGGCATCCCCTTTCAGAGTCATTTTGCCTCCCTGGCTATTTTGTACCATTACCTTGGTAGATGCTCCCTGGTGAGGTTTACATGTGACAAAATTTTTCATTTTACATACATTCCCATACATCTATATATGTCTTTTCTATCCAGGACTTCCTTATCACCAATCTTTCAATCCTCCTCTTATCATTGGCCAAGCCATTGTCTTTCATCTGAGTCTTTACAGGTCTAACTTCCAATAACTTCTATTTTCATACATGGTGGTTAACCAAATGCATCAACTAAAGCTCTGCCAATGGAAAGGGGTCCCCTTACCATGCTCTTTCAGGCCACCTCTGAATGGAGATCCCATGCAGCTGCTGTCCACTGCAGCTTGTTCACGCATATTCAGCTTGGCCTCGCTATGAAACAAGTGCAGCCTGCCTGTATCTGCTAGTCATAAGGAACTCTTCCGGGCACTATAGGTGTGAGCTGAGGGAAAAACAGTGGTATAGCAACAGTAGATGCCAGAAATTCTGCTTTCCCTGATCATGCCATGTCCTCTGGTCCTAGATGGACCTCTTCCATCTTATAATGGATTCATTCTGGCCTACCCAACTTATAATAAGGTTTGTTTGACATCATCTAACTCATGACAGGCAGGGTGGGCTGCACCATCTCTTGGTTGATGTTCTTTATTTAGTAGAAAGCTATGAGTTTTTTTTCAAGGTGACTACTTCTCAGGTCCAGATGATATGGCCTTGCTACAGAGCCCTACATTATGATATGTTCATTGAGTCTTGCCATGGGTTCTAAATGGCATTGTTTTCTGCATCACTAACACTTCTAATAATACAGTCTACTGGGTCATATGGGTCAAGTAGCAAGTCAGCTTGCGCACATCCAAAACTTGTTTCAGAGTCCTTTTCTGCATTGAATCTCACTCAAAGATGACCACATTTCACGTCAGCTGGTAGCTGGGCCACAGTAGCATTCCCATGTGAGAAATATGTTGCTCCTAGAACCTCAAGCAACCTACCAAGCACTATGCTTCTTCCTCCAAATTATTGTGTGATGTAATAGCTCATTCTTTAATTTGAAAGGGATGTTATGCCATTCTCTAGATCACTGGACACTTGCATTTTAACGAACTAGAAGTTCCCTGAATATTCACAGGGTGTACCTTCGACCTATGGAAGCATGTGAGCCTTACTAAGGCATCCAGTGTATTAATTCTTGCTAATCTGGTTCAACTGGCATGATGTCAGCAATATAGTGGACAGTGTCATTTTACACAGGATGCCTAGAAATCTAGGCCTCTTCACACCATATTATGATATAGGTGAGAAAAATAAATATAGCCTTGAGTCAAGACCATGAGGATACACTGTTGTTCATTCTCTATGAACCTATACTGTTCCAGATTCTCTGATACAGATAGAAAAGATATGATTACCAGATTATGCATACAAAATACCCAACATATTATATGACACAGCAACTATAATCAGGGATTATAGGATTGAACTAGGTTGAGTATATGCTACTCTGTTACCATCCTTAAGATCTACCTGGGCTGGCAAGATAGCTCAGCAGACTAAGTGCCTGCTTTGGCAAGTGCAGAGACCAGGGTTCCATCCCTGGTCCCACATGTTGCACCAGCCCTGCTCCAGGGCGCACTGAGCCAGCAAACAAGTCTGTATGTGGTGGTGCACACATGTAATCCCAGCACTAGGGAGGCTGAAAACAGGAGGACCACTAGGAGTCCAAGCTGCATAGCAAGACCCTGTACCAAATATAGGGAAAAAAATCACTTAAGATCTATCTGATTTTTGTGGAAGTTGGAAAAGTGAATTAAATAGAGATATGACAGAGAACAGTATCCTGCATTCTCTAGGTCTTTAGGATGAATTATTTTCTACCATCTTCCCCTGGATAAGATAATTTTTATTTAGTCCTTTGGATGGGGTGGGGAGAAGAGCAACTTAAGAAGTTTGCACTTGGCCTCCACTACAACAGGCTAAGGAACCAATGCAGAACTGCACCAATGATCAAATAGGTCTATTCAATTCCTATGTTTGGGGACTGGGACAGGAACTACTATCTGGGTCCTACTATGAGATGATTCTCTATTTAATACCTGACATCAATAGCTCCCACTCTCCTCAGTAGCTCTGATGACACTCCAAGTCTAAGTATCGATGTCAACATAGACCCTGTGTCAAACAGTCATTGTAATATTTGGATATGCTCTCCTCTCCAGGGTATTGTTATGAGCAAATGCCCAGAGCTCCTTTGGAGAGAAGATAAGAGAAACTGTTATCGTATGTACCTGCCACGATGTTACAGGGTCTATCTTCCTGGGTACCTGAGCTGTCCCTCTGTCAGTGAGTTCTGAGTCTGAACACTGACCCAAGTCCAAAGAGTATGCACCAACCATAATATTCCATCTATCTTTCAGACTAAATAACATAAATCCATAAGGTCAGTAGAGAGGGCCAATGCAGTTAGAAAATGGGCTGTAGTAATTAATGAGGCACAAAGCTCAGCCTTCATCAGGCCCCTAGCCGTCCAGGCGTAAGGTCCAAGAAGTGCTCATTCTGAGCTTGGCTATTCCGGAAATACCTGGTGGGTACAGCAAATGATTCTCCTTTTGGCTGACTGTAACACAGGACTGAAGCAGAGCCATACTCAGTGCTTCCAGGAGACCGTTCTTTTAGCTGTCTCTTTGCTTAGGAGGGGATCTGACAAGAGTGAAGCAAAGCAGCAGTGTTCAGCTAAATAGTCTGGGTTTCAGGGCAGGATGCCAGCCCTGGAGAAAAACAGCTCAGATGGAAAGCCAGAAAGACTACAAAACCTGACCCAGAGAAACATATGGCGGAGATGCTTGTAGATTTAACTTCCTATGGCAGTGATGGCGAGCCTTTTAGAGAAAGAGCACCCAGACAGCAACCCAAAACCCACTCATTTATCGCAAAGTGCAACACTGTCATTAAAACTGAACATTGAAGTTTTAATTTAGAAAAAACAATTGTAACCCGATGCTTGGCTGCTGGGGCAACTTGGCTCATGTGCCAACAGAGCAAGCTCAGTGTGCCTGCTGTGGCATGCATACCATAGATTTGCCACCATTGCCCTACAGAATCCAAGGCTTAACCTGCCACCCATATACCCAACTCGGTGGCAGCACCATTTAATTCCAGGTGCTTCTGAAAAGTGCAGCTAAGGCTATGAAGGCACCTACTGAGAGAGCTAGAGAGGCAAAGATCAGACATCTGGCAGTGGAGGCTGAAGGGTTTATCAGCCTTATCAAGAGGAGATGGCTTAAAAAGTTGTGCTTCTGCCTTTACCCACCCCCTCACCTGCTTTGATGGCCTCCATATCTTGGGATGTTTTTCTCAGAGGCCTGAACTTTCCATCTGCCTCCCAGGCTGGGAAGGAAGTTGCAGCTGTTAAAAAGCAGAAGAGATGGAAGCAGAGCATGTTCTGCATGAGATACATCATGCTTCTTCAGTTCATCTGAGCTCTAGAATAGAGAAACAAAACTCAATTAGCAGAAAGCAAAACAAAAATAAGATCATCCAGATAACCCTACTACCTGCTTTTTTCACAACTACTTTGCAGACATCGTAAGGTAATATATTCCTCCCTATAAAGATGTGGCAAATGTCAGATGATGGATTGCAATGTTTATATCAGAAAGCAAGTGGTTCTGCTTACTGGCAGGGCTTCAGTTGTCATCCACCCTCCTTGTGCTCTGAAGTAGAATCTTATGTTCATAGCTCAATGGAGCCTGATAGGAAAACAAAGACTTGAAAGCCTTGACATGCTTCTCCAGTCGCCCACATACTTTATCCTTTTCCTTTAGGAACTGGTATGCAGATGAGCCTTCCTGTGGCAGCGAGATCTGCGTGGTCATGTACCATCAGCCATCGGCACCTCCTGGTATTGGGGGCCCCTACATGTTCCAGTGGAATGATGATCGATGCAACATGAAAAATAATTTCATTTGCAAATACTCTGATGGTAATGCCTCCTCTCCCAAGCTATGGGACTAAATGTTCACCCTCCTCTTTCCTTTTATAAGTAGTTGCTAGTGCCAAGACTTTCTTAAGTGGTCAATGAAAGCTTATTACAAATGCCAGCACTGTTTAACTTTGAGAATCCTTGTAAAGAGATAGGCAATAACACTTTCTCACTCAAGAGTAATTTTAGCAAAGTGAAGGTTATCAGATGCTAGGAGAGGGGATTAAAAAAAGAAAGGATCTAATATCAGTGTGATAAAGCAAGACTTAACAGAAAGAGCAATCTTCATGGAAAAATGTGAATTCTTACTTGTTCCACACTGTGGTTGGTTATAGGAGTTTGGAATAACCTGACTATTATTCCCACAAATCCTCAACAGCCATGTGATATTATTTTCTAGGAACTTAAAGATGATAATGACCAGAGCTGGCAAATGATAAACTATGCCAGTTTCACTGGCACTAGGCAGAGATGGTAGATGCTTTGATGAACAAGCTTAAACTCCCCAAGCCACTTCCTCTGTTCGCACATTGAAAAATCAACTTGGATTTGCTTCTAGATCTATAAGGGTTTTGAACTGGCCATAAGCCCATAGTCTCATACCTTGAGGTTTCCCAGACTCGTTTCTCATAATGGACGTAAATTTAAACTTCAGCTGATTCAGTCTGTCCCTTATGTTTCTCACTTCCCTGAAGCCAACCACTTGGCCCTCATTCTGCATTCTTTCCTGATTAGTAGTAGGGTGACTTAGTTATATCTGGTTTGAGACTAACATTGTCATTCTAAAATTGTTTGAATTGAACTATGCTTGGGGCAGTTTTTGCTACTGAAAAATGATTTTATTTCCCTTCTTATAACTTCAAATGAATTATGTTCTCCAGTGATCTGGCCTTCCCCATCATACAGGGTTGTCCCAGGCAGGAGTTTTTTTTTTTTTTTTTTTTTTTTTTTTTTTTTTTTTTTTTTTTTTTTTTTTTTTTTTTTTTTTTGAGTGAGTGTGTGTGTGTGGCCAGCTCAGCCTACCAGGGGGCGGGGCTGGCTGGCATGTGGTGCTGGGGGATTGAACCGCGGTCCCTGTGCTTTAGCTAAGCTTGTTCTAAGTAGGTGCTTTAGACCACTGAGCCATCTCACCAGCCCCAGGCAGGAGTTTGTAAAGACAGACTGGCTTAGTGAGCAGGTCACCCTCTTAAAGCAGTGACAGCAGAACATGTGTTAAAACTGATTTCCCCTTGCTGTTATTAACTATATTTTATTAGCTCCATGGTTTAAATGCATGCATTTTAATGTTTTTTGAAATATGAAATTGCTTTAATAGCCTTTTTATTTACTTATTTATTTTTTGACACCAGGGATAGAACTCAGGACCTTGTGCTTGCCAGGCAGGTGCTTCAGCCACTGAGCTAGCTCCCCACCCCCCTCTTATTATTTGGTAGCTTTCTAAAAGAAATCACGTTCTTCATTATGTTTGCCATTACCTGCATTTTTAGACTGAGTTTCAGACAGAAAAAGATGATACATTCAAAAGGTTTAATAAGACTATAATAAAAAGCCTTTTTTCAGAAGTGTAGGCAAAGAACAGGAGATGGCAAAGTATCTAACAGAATGCAGCTCTAGGGCTGGCCAAACAGCTCAGTGAATTGGCAGCAAGTTCAATCCCTGGGTCTGCCCGGTCGGCTCCGCCCCTGGGGTACCCTAAGACAGCAGTTGAGATTAGGTGTGGTGGCGAACTTGCCTGTAACCCCGGCTCACCGGAGGCTGTAAACAGCTTGATCAATACAAGTCCGATCTAGTAATGAGACCCTGAACACCCTGTAGACCCTTCCCTAAAATACACACACGAAAGAAAGAAAGAGAGAGAGAGAGAGAGAGAGAGAGAGAGAGAGAGAGAGAGAGAGAGAGAGAGAGAAAGGGAGGAAGGAAAGAAGGAAGGAAGGAAGGAAGGAAGGAAGGAAGGAAGGAAGGAAGGAAGGAAGGAAGGAAGGAAAGAGAAAAAGAAAAAAGAATGCAGCTCCTGGCAAACCATGCTCACATGGAAAGGTCACAAACAATAAGTACATTGACCTTTCCTCCTACCCTATGATCGCCTGCTTTTGCCCCCCATTGGCTAACTCAGAAAGCAAAGGACAAAGGGTTCCCAGTAAAGTAGTTCCTAGAGATCAGCCTCCCAGGACACTGAGCATGGATCCAGTGGACGGCAGTGGATGTGTGGAGAAGAGCTAATATTGTTTCACGCAGCCACTTATCCTCAGAATAAGTTCATACAATTTAGCGTGGCAAGAAAAGGGCCGGTGTGATCAGACCCTTGCCGCCTCCTTCCCTGCCTCAGTTCTCAACACTGCTGCCCCTCTCCTCCTCCTACTACATCACATCTGCACTCCATGTCGTTCCCCCAAGAGCTCTTACCTGCTGTTTCCTATGCATAGAATGCCCTTTACCCTTTCCCAGTCAACTCATTCTCAACCCTTAGGTTCAAGTTAAATGTCGGGCTCGCTTGAGTGCAGCAAGTCATCCTGGGTTAAATCCTGGATCATGATGATGGCAGAGGAGGTGACAATGAAGATGATGATTTTCTATAAGTGACATTATTAGGAGAGTTGGAAGAATGTGAATAAGGTCTATTGATTAGATAATAATATATCAATATTGATCTAATTGTATTATGGTCATATAGAGAATGATACTCTCCTTTATTAAATATGGACTGAAGCATTTAGGAATAAAAAGAGGCAATGTCTGCAGTTTACTCCGGAATAATGTAATATATTTGTATGTATATATAAATACACACATATATGTAAAGATACAGAAATACATCAATAGATACAGAAATGTGATAAAATGACAAAGTGGATGATATATGAGAATTCTTTGTACTGTGCCAGCAAATTTTCATAAAACTAAAATTATTTCAAAGTAGACAGTTAAAAAATAATTTCTTTTAGAAAGATTTCAGGACCCCTCAAAACCAGGATAAGTGTTTCTCCTCAGACAGTTTTTTAACTGCCTGTTTCCAGGTTTGTCCCTTTTACTGCATGGCTCACATTCAGTCTGGAAATATCCACATTCTAGCCATGCCATGGGCTGGTGGGGACTACGTCTGTGGTTCCCACAAGGTGGCAAGGGTCTAGGTGGATACTATTATTCCTAAAACTAGATTCAAACATGTGGCATGTTGAATAGATGACATGCTAGCCAGAGCTGAACACTTGATTATTTCTGAGGTATGCTAAAGGCACAAGAATATTTAGGGAAAATTAGAGGAAAACATAATCAGGAACTCAGAAGATGAATGTACTGGGACTGATGGAAATACTGTATGCTTGGGCTATGCTTATTGAGACTGCACTTTGGACAGATAATATAAGTAGACTGTGAAATGTTATTGGCTATATTAGGTACATCAATGTAATATGAAATGCATATTAATTTTCTATATATCCAGATTTTTGTTCATCTTGTGGAATATAAGCTCCTTAGAAGGCCAAGATTATTTTCTCCACTACCTAATACAATTATATCTCCTTACTATTTTAATTTTGCTTCTCTCCTTACTATTCTAATTTTATTTGAATTTATTTGGTTGGAATTCCAATTCAGTTACTTACTAGCTATGAATTTGGAAATTATTCAATCTCCCTATATTTTGGTTTCCTCAAGTAGAAAACCAGAATTATCATGAAGCTCCCTCATAAGGCTGTTATCAAAATTGCTTTTGTTCTTATAAATCACTTAGAATCATTTTTTATATAGTATACACTACAGATGTAGATATTTCTGAATTATGTAAATACATTTGCATCTCCTCTATTCTCCTCTCTCTCTCTCTCTCTCTCTCTCTCTCTCTCTCCCCCTCCCCCTCCCTCCCCCATCCTTTCCCTCATAATTAAAAAGTTTCTCAATGAAACCAGACTAGATTTGACATCTAGGTCTTGGGAATGTGGTTTCTAAACTCTCACCTTTACACACCCTGTTCTATGAACCTTATGTTATCTGATTGATACAGGAGACTCACTGCTAAAACAAGGGGTCAATCAAATGGGGAAAATTTGACCTGGGTTATCTATAGTCTCACTTTGCTGAGGGTCTTGCAAGTATTTAAAATAACTTAGAGCTTATCACCCATCTCTCTGTCTTTGGGTTGTGTGGTCTCTCAACTATTTTCATTGCTTGGAGATTAGTGTTTATTCCTCTAACACACCCCCACTAGGCACTGATAAAATAACCTTGAATTGCTTTAAAATAATCCAGGACAGGTATAGACAGGGAGTAGGAGATACTGTTGAAACTGTATTACCTATACACTGATAGGCATGGAAGCTGCTTGCCAGCACATAAGGATACATTACAACAGACTTTGTACTTTGGAGTATATTTAAAAATTCATATGTAGGGGCCGGGGTGATGGCTCAGTGGAATAAGTGCTTCCCTGGCAAGCGCAAGGGTCTGAGTTCAATCCCTGGTTCTGCCAAAAAAAAAAAAAAATCATATGTATTTTAAACACCTTTTTGAAAAAAAAAAGAAAAAGCACCACATTAAAGCTGAAGGCTAGGTTAGTCTTTATGCAGAAGTAGTTATTTTCATTCAACTAGCCCTTGGTATCTGGTACAGTAAAAAAAAATCTGGTAACAATAGTTTACAGGAAATGGATGTCATAATCTAATTTTCAGATGAAGGAAAAATCTAGTTATTATTTTCATTTTTTTCTACTGCAGAAAAAACAACAGTTCCTTCTCCAAGACCTAGAGGTAAGGCTGTTATTTAAGATTTGGGTTAATTTAGGTTGTTTTATACACTCTCTTAATGCATTTCCAACCAGGTCATTCGACAGAAAGGCTACTACGTTAACCCAGACAATTTGGTTCTATGCCACTACCAGCCATAGCAACTACTTCTTTATTCTTACTCTCTGTCGTTATAAACATCTCTCAGAGCTGAAAATCAATAGTTACAAGTTCATGTGGTGATGTTACTTATCATTATTATTATTATTGACGATATGAAGGGAATAGTTTAATCTATTGATACCAGAAATGAGCCACACTGACTATTCATGGTCCTAGCAGTAATCGCTGGCTTTTCCCTTGGCATGTTAGTACTTTATATGGTCAACACCAGCTTCTTGTTAGTTATTTTGTTTTCTGATCCTGGGCAGCAAGCACCTCTGCAGCATCAAATTCAACCCTTTATTTTTCTGTTTATAAATGTCATTGGTCCAATGGCTACTACATTTTTTTCATCCCATTTTGAATATGACAAGATCTAATAGTCCAGCTAGGTTTTAATGGCTTTCTCCACCTTTTTGAGTCTTTATGTCTCTCTCCAGGTGAGGAAACAGAGTCAGCAACACCTCTACTTCCCAAAGAAACACAGAAAGAAGATGCCCAGGAAACATTTAAAGAAAACAAAGGTATGTACCAAACTTGCCTAGACAAAGGTATTCTTGTGATCATAAATTACCCATGTTTACTTTCCCCACTTTGTACTTTTTTGTAATTCCTTAAACATGAAATTAGACAAGGCACTTGTGACTTGAAAAACTATTGAATTTTAGGTTTCATCATTGTAATTTGCACATGGTGCTATCCTACGACAGTTAGGGAAATCAGACTGGACAGATGGTGAAAGATTTGTGTGAAGACAGAGCCAGGGGAATCATCCACAAGTCACAGGGAAAGGGATCAAGTGGGGACTGAGAGAGAATATACAAAGAAACAAGAGCAGAAAAAGCCAAGCTCTGATGCATAACCCCTGTGATTAATATTCACCTATGAAACAAATAGAGGAAATGGACAGTAACATATAAAATGTTAGATCACAAAAGGCAAAAGAAAAATGGAGCAGTAAATTAGAGTGCTAATGGACTTTGAAACTCTCACCCAAAATATGGAGAGGAAAATTTAGATTTCTGTCACTGGGCAACTGTTAAAAACCACTTAATCTCTCTAGCCCTCATCTTTATCAATTTCATAATGGAAGTAAAAATATTTTTCTTACCTACCTGAGAGGATTACTGTGTCCAGTAAGTGAAATATAACATACAATTCAATTCTGACACTAACCACCCATATTAACACAGACACTACAGCTTAAAGGCATAACAAGAGTGCCTTCACTTCAGACATCAGCCACAAATTTGGGGGTCCTCAGGCCAGATGCACCCTACCTAAGTGGATCCAAATCCAGGGAGAAGCCTATAGCACCCTCTCAAGTTTGGTAATTCACTAGAACAATTCACAAAACTTTGAAAAACTTTGTATTTATGTATTTTGTCACACAGGTTGACAGTCAAAAGCAGCCAAATGAAGATACCTAGGCAATCTGGGAGGATTCTAAATGGAGATCTTCCTATAAAATACACTGACCAGGAAGCTGCTCTGGGGTTCGATGTCCAGAGGTTTTCTTTGGGCTTTCATTACATCAGCATGAATTATCTCAGGGCCAGCCAAATAGTTCAGTGGATTAAAACGCCTGCAAGCAGGATCAGGGTTGTGCTGTGCTGGTCCCGTCCCCCATAGGTGCACTGAGACTGGGCGTGGTGGTGCATGCCTGTAATCCCAGCACTTGGGAGAGTAGTGAGACCCTGAACACTCTGTAGACCCTTCCCTAAAAATAAAAATTAAAAAAAAATAAAAAAAGCATGACTGATCTGAATGTTGGTCATATGGTTACAGTTCAGTCCCCAAAGGCCAGGACGATACCACCCAGCTCAAAGCCCCTACCTTATAATCACATGGTGGCTCTTCCAGGTGTGGCAACCCCCATCCTGAGACATCTTCAATAAATTGTGGTACCACCTGAGAGGTTTATGAGTAACAAAGCCAATCCTATACTTGGAAAATTCCAAGGATTTATAACTTCTGTCTCCAGACCCATGAGAGACAGGGTTCAAATTTTTTATTATACAATAGCTATAGTGTGTGAAAAATATTTTGAAAAAAAGAGCAGTACTGTATAAAGGTGGGTGGCATTTCTGTTGTGTATAGTTAAGATAGTGGTGTTCAAAGAGGATTTTGGAGTATGTTTTCTGTGTTCTTCTGGGTGTCAGGTTTGTAGCTTCATAGGAAAAAATAAAGGCAATCACCTCTGGAAGGTGGGAATCTTGGATCAGCAGAGGAAGAACTAGCCAGTTTTCAATCCTTAATTCCTTTCAGATCCTCCTGAGGGACTCATCTCTGGTAAGTCTTAAAAGACCACAGGGGACACGGAAACCAGGCATGGTGGTACACACCTGTAATCCCAGCAATGAGGAGGCTGAGACAGTAGGATCACTATGAGTCTGAACTGCATAACGAGATCCTGTATCCAAAAAAGACTACAATGTTCAAAAAAGCAGATCTCTATGTGCTCTTCATAGTCACTGCTCATGGACTCAGTTGAATCCAGTTGGTCACAGTCAGAATTGCTGGGAATTCTTTGCATTCCAATTCATGTGTTCTGTGTAACTTTTTTTTTTTTTTTTTGCAGTAATGATACCAAGACCTTGGACTCATTTACCCCCACACCCCCACACCCCCATACCTCCCCACACAAGTTGTGGACTGCCATGGCTGTCCTTAGAGGCAGACATCACACTGCCCCAACAGCCTCTGTCTATTAAGGAATACAAGAAATACAGAATCTCTTCTCTGTAAATTTATCTTTAACTGGCAAAAGTAGCCTTTCAATATTTGCAAGAGACCCCCAAGTTTAAATATATTTACAGTATTATTTAGGGTACTAGGCCAGGCAGAAACTAGAAGACTTTTTGAGTAACTGTGACTGTTTCCTAGGAATATGCTCTTTAGAAAACCTTGTATTGACCATGCTTTTTAAGATCTGAAACACACACCCACACCAAAAAAAACAAAACAAAACAAAATCCCCAGTGCTGACAATGTGCTTCTTTTCTTTTCAGGAGCCCCCTTGAATCTTGCCTACATCCTAATCCCTGTCATTCCTCTCCTCCTCTTCCTTGTGGTCGCCACAGTAATATGTTGGGTTTGGATCTATAGAAGGAGGCAAGTAAAACCTTCATTCACTAGTTTATACCTGTGTGTCCCATACAAAAGGATTTGCCCAGTTTACTTCATTAAAGCTCATGGCAGTTTAAGAGAATGGCCACTACACATTCAAGAGTAAAGTCTCTGGTATGCTCAGGGAATTCAGAAATGCTAAGCACTTGCACTTAATTGTGATTAAGAGTGTGAACTCACAGTCTATTTTCGTGGGTGTGGAAGACTTTAGACAACTTCAAGGATGAGACTGTGTTATTCATTTCCCTTGTATCTATGTGTCACCCAGAAAAACTGCCCTTGTTCCAGAATTGTTGAGTGAGTAAGGAATGACTACAGGGTTTTATAAAAACTGATTGTTCCAAAGCATTCTTGTAAGCATCTGAACATGAGTCATTTCATTCAAAATGAAAAGACTAAATTACTTTTAATTGAGTACACAAAAGTAGACTGCTACAAAACATCTCCACTAGGGAACCTAGACAGCCTGTTTAAGGTCAAGATCATGCACTCCATTTTTGAGGTGCACAGAACTATGCCCGATCACCTTTTCAGTCCCCGTCATCATGATATACACAGAAAAAGCCTAGAATTTTCCCATCTTGTCACAGGAAAACTAAGATCCAATTTAAATTTTGACTCCCTTTGATGACCCATCTGAGATGAATTCATAAGATTCCCATGTAGGACTTATTTTATTTCATAACTTCCTTAAAAGATTATTGTAATAAAGCAGGAAATACACGCAATAGACATATAGTAAATACTTTAAAATATTAGCTGTTAATATAGTATTAGTTATTTCCTTTGAATCTAAAAATAGAATTAAGTTTAAAAATTGCAAATATAATTTCCAACAGCTTACTTTACAGTCTGTTCTTGATTTCCTTTCCTTGTTCTAATTAATTCCTCACCAAGATTTGAGAATTGTGTAATCAAACTGGAATCTATCTATCCCAAGGGTTTTCAACCTTGATTTATGCTACAGATCCCTGCAGCAGTCTGCAGAAGACTATGGACCTCTTCTTGGAATGACATTTTTAAATATATTTTATAAATTGTTTTCTTTTGGTACCAGAAATCAAACTGAGGACCTTGTGCTTGCCAGAAAGGCACTTGTGCTTCTGAGTTATATCCCCAGCCCTTTTTTTTTTTGGCTGAACCAGGGATTGAACTCAGGTCCTTGCACTTGCCAGGGAAGCGCTTATTCCACTGAACCATCCACTGAACCATCTCCCCGGCCCACCCTATTTTTAAGTATATATATATATATATATATATATATATATATATATATATATATAATGAGGTTCCAGAGGCAACAATTACAGTATTATTATATGCATTAGCAAAATATTTCCAGAAATAAATATGTGAATGTAATATACAAATGCTTCTTTATTTAGTGGTAGATATAGCTATTGTAACCTTGGTAGAGATGAGCAGAAAATATTTTAAGGTAACTATAATAATTGATGTGATATGAAAATATCTATGATTTCTCTTGGTGATAAAGTCAACAATATTAGTCTGCTCCCTTTTACTGCCAATATTCATAATGGAAGGACATACTAAATTTCACTTAAAAATGAGTCTTTTAAAATGTGGTATTTTTTGAATATACAATTTTATTCCTAGACAACTTTATTCTGAAGACTCCTGAGGCCCAGGAAAATACTGTCTTTTACAGCATGTGTTTTAGTTAATTTTTCATTGCTGGGACAAAATACCTGAATCTCACAAAACAAAAGGAAGATTTACTTCAGTTCACAGTGTATAGAGGTTTCATTCCACAATCAGACAGCTCCACAGCAGGCTGGCATGGCAAAGGGGTGCGGCAGCAGGGCGCGGTGGATGAGGCGTGGTGGAGGGGCAACAGTCCATGGCAGAGCAGCCAGGAGGTAGTGAACAAAAAGCTCTCTTTCTTTTTTTTTTTTAATGGAAAAAAAGTAAAACAAAATTTCATAACAACATAATAAGAATAACAACAGTTAATATATTAAATGTTATCTTTAAAATAGTTGCATAGGATGAAAGATATAAAAATTCCTCAAGACCTTCCTTTTTAAAGAACTGAGATACTTGTAGTATAACTGACTCACATTTTTCCCTTTTCCCTGCTGTCTTTTCCCTTTCACCTATCCTAGTTCCTTTTTTCTTTTGAACAATTTATTCCCATTTCACAAGATCTATTGTACATTTTCCTTTTCCTTTTTATAATTTTTATTCATATTAATGAGAAAAAGGATAAAATTGCAGTGAAACAGTTTCAGAACAGGTCAGTAGGATGTTTACAATAATTAATACATTGCATAGTGCTATCTTCGTAGTATTCAGAAGACAAGATGCAGATATGATATCTTGTCTAAACAATAATAGTACAAACCTTTATTCTCAGTGAAGAGGAGGTAGCTGTATGTCTATCCTAACTCTCTTGTGTATACATTTTTTTTTCCTTCCTGCCCCTTTCTTTTCACAACAAAACTGTCCTTTATTTACACTTTCGTGAAGTTAGTAACACATGACACTAGGTTGCTTAGCAACTGATAGCAAACCTTAACTAGACAGATGTTCATCTCAGGAGTGAGGCAGCTTGTTTGCTTTAGGCACTGAGCCAAGTCCCCTACAGATATTTGGTCAATTTCCTAGCTTCATGATTCCCAATATATCACCCTTTTTTGTTTTGTTTTTTCAGAGATGTGTGTTCCACTGCAGTTAGAGAGACTGTATTTGTAGAAGTCTTTAAAGGACCTTTTCATACTTGAAACCAATCTAAAGATTGTAGGTACTTGAATTCAGCAAAATAACTCAATATACTCCAATAGTCCATAATAGTAATGGGTAATCAGAATGGGCAACTGTCAGAAGTTGTTGACTTGAGCCTTTTACAGCTCAGCATATTAATACGGCTTTACTTTTTACACCTCGTGGTTATACTTGGCTGGATGGTTAAGACCAAGTTAAAGCAAGACCTATGTAACTAAAAATGTAACCTTTGTTTCTGACAAGGTCAGTCAAATCCCCTCGGGATTTATGCTGGAACCACATACAGCACCTTGTAGACCTTTTGTCGGTGTCAGCCATGTAGATGAGTCACAGCCATTGCTTGACCAATTTGCTCTCTGTGAAAGCCTGAGAGAATTTTTTCTCTCTAGGTGACTCTCCTTAGGCAGACTATACATCATCGATCACTTTCCTCTATGGCCCCATCATCTCCTTGATCATAAAATTTTGGATGTCAAAGCACAGGTTCTCTTACGTCCTGAGTCCTCACTGACCTTGAGGTGCTAGGGCCAAAATATTGGCTATCCTTGTAGCACCTCTATTTCTCTAATTTTTGGTCTGCAAATTTTAGTTGTTAAACATCCAGAAGAGAAGTTTAATGATATTACCCTGTAACAGAGGCAGTTGAACTTAACATCACTATCTGTCTGAATATCAAACGCCTTAGACGTAACATGGAACTGCTCTTTTCCGGCAACCATGGATATTCTAAAATTTAAATCCTGAGGACTGGCCAAATAGCTCAGTGGATTAAAGTGCCTGCAAGAAGACTCAGGGGCCTAGGATTCATTCCTGGGCCTGCGTGCCAGCCCCGCCCCCAGGGCATGATGAGACTGCAGTTGAGGCTAGGCATAGTGGTATATGCCTGTAATCCCAGCTCTTGGGAGGCTGTAAACAGGGGATCACTATGAGTCTGATCTAGTAGTGAGACCCCTGAAGGCCCTTCCATAAAATATTTTTAAAAACCTTAAAAAATAAACAAAATTTAAATCCCTATAGAATGTGAAAAAATTACATATTTTTACACAGAAATTTAGAAATCACACCATATGCAACATTGTAGCGGGATGATACTATGACTTTTTTTCTTGTTCCTTGTTTTCTTTTATTACTTTTTGAAATAAAATTACTTTAAAGAGAGTACAGCAATAATTGGTTTGATGTTAAAAGCAGTGTGCATTTACATGACCAAAATGACATGTATATCAAGCATGGTTTTAGTATTACACATTGCTATCCTCAGAGTAGTTGCTTAGTTCACAGATATCAGCATATAGAGTTAGTCAGTGTTATGGTTTGTATATAGGTGTCCCCCCAAAGCCTCACGCAGTCTTGGGGTGGCTTCTGGAGTTTGTGATTGATTGTTGTGGGTGTGGATGCTGCACCTGCCCTCGGGCAGGTAATTTACATTTCAATATAAGGAGAGAAGCTAGCTGCTTGCACTGCTGCTACCCTCCCTTGTGCTCTTGCTCTTTGCTGCCGCCATGAAAGGTTGCCCTCTGCCGTGTGCCACTCTGCCTTGGAGGCAGCTGAGTGTGGACTGAAACCTCCAGTAACTGTGAGCTAAATAAACCTTTCCTTCCTTCATTTTGAGTGTCGGGTATTTGTCCCAGCAATGAGAGAAGAGTAGCTAAAAGAGTAGGGATGGGAATTCTACCCATTAACTGCTATTTTCAAAAACCTGATGGAGATACTTAGGAATGCTTTTATTATCTTGTTTAAATAAATGTATAGTTGTGCCCCTGCCATATTTCCTAACTTTTCTCCTTGCTCTCTCTTCGTTGTTTAATCCTTAAGTTCTCAGTGTCCATTTAACTGTGTTATACTTTTCAACTTTTATTTCTTCTTTTGGGGTCTTACTCTGGGGAGACAATACAATATTTATACATCTCAGTCTGGTTTCTTTCACTTATGAATGTATCTTCAAGTTGCATCCACTTACATATGAGGGCTTCGAGTTTATTTTTCTTTATAGGTGAGTAATACTCCATTGTATAAAAACACCACATCTTTTTCATCCATTCCTCAGTTAATGGGCATTTTAGTTGTTTCAAAGATTTGGCTATCAAAAATTGTGCTGCTATAAACATAGGTGCACATATATCACTATATTATGTTTTCAATTCTTTTGGGAAAATTCCCAGAAAGGGGATAGCTGGATTGAATGAGATTTCCAGTTGTAGTTTTTTGATGAGTCTCCACATTGATTTCCATAATGGTTG